GAAGCAAAGGCAGCATTCAATAACTCTGCCTTCTCTGTATCCTTCGTCACCAGGGCACCCGCCCCATTCAGCAGCGGGCCCACATTTTCCCTAGTCTTCCTTTTGCTATTGATGTATTTGAAGAACCCCTTCTTGCTGTCCTTGACATCCCTTGCCAGATTTAATTCCAAATGGGCCTTAGCCTTCCTTGTCACATCCCTGCACACTCTGACAACGTCCCTGTATTCCTCCCAAGGGGCCTGTCCCCTTTTCCACATTCTGTACACTTCCTTCTTCTGCTGGAGTTTTGCCAGGAGTTCCTTGCTCATCCATGCAGGTCTCCTGCCCGCTTTGCTGGACTTCTTACTCAGAGGGATGCACTGCTCTTGAGCCTGGAGGAGGTGATGCTTGAATATTAACCAGCTTTCTTGGACCCCTCTTCCTTCTAGGGCCCTACCCCATGAGATTCCCCATGAGATATCATTTAACACCAGAACAAAATTCAGGTTTGGAAATGTCCTATCATAATGTGATATCAGCTATACAGTCAAAACAATGGTAAATAATCACTGGAAAACAGTATTAAAAATAGCTCAGTAAGTGTTCCATAAAATGATGTATTTCAAATGCAGTATCTTTCCTTCTTCCCATCCTTTTGACTCTTGGAATACTGTAGAAGAAAACACACCTAATTCATTCTCTGGGCCCAAACTAGACACCACTTTAGCATAAAGTTAACCTTGGAAACATTTAGCGTCTCAGAGCCTTATTCCACAAGTTTGAATTCAACAAAGAAACATGTTGATTCAAGTGTTCAGGCAGATCAGCTAGCACATTCTCTGATTTTGTTTCCACAACTCTCTAGCAAATAATCTATGCTGAGCATGCTCTCTGCAAGTTAAAACTAAAATGCGTACTGTCTTTTTCTAGGTTTCTCACACAGAACATAACTTTTGCGTTAATATAGCCCAATACTTCTAAAATTTGTGGCAACAATGGTTCACAACAGAATTCCTTCCTGTTTAAAAAAATAACATATCAGTAAAACATTAATTAAAAATAAGAGATATAATTAAAATCTAGCAGGATGATACCAAGCTGTGAAAACACAGCTTAGCACTTAACAAGCATGAAGGCCCTTACTGCATTATGAAAATTAATCTCAAGCTTCCAGCTGTTAACTTCCCTCTAAGGAAGCACATTCTTTTTTCAAAAAAAAAATTCAATAAAACCGCAACATTTTAAAAAGTGTAGATATTTTGAATTACACCATAAAAAAAACCTAAGCTACTGTACAGCACAAAAATCAAACATTCTTGCATGTTTTCTTCTTAATGGATTTATTTAGCAAGGAGTTCTCTTAATAATAATGTATTGTGTAAGTTCTATCATTTGGTCGGACTTATGTTACACACCTGAACAGAAACAGTGGCAGTGTAAACAAAAATTTGCTTTTATTAGGGAAGGTTTTTCCACTAAAGTGCAGTTTCACAGAAAACTACACAAAAATCAGATAATTGGGACTGAAATTTTAGCAGCAGCTTGTATCTAAAATATTGCATAATTACTAGTCCATCTTTTTTCAATAAGCACATTGAAACTATATTAACTCATATTGCGCTGCTAACTGCCAAGATTCAGACCCTTATTCAACACGCTGCTCCATGACAGCAGTCCTCTACAGGTGTCTTCACATCGAGTCTTTCAATGGGATCGTAGTTTTCTTCAACTAGAACTCACTGCAGCAAACATTCTGATGTTATCAGTTAACTTTGGTCATCCATTGCAAATTGTCTGCTGGTGCCTTATAGTAGAATTTCTGCAGCCTATCTGGATAGCACACCTAGTACAGGATAGTTAAAACCCTGCAGAGAATCACAGTACTTCTGTCTCCTAATCTCATGCAAAAATTATAATTTCCCATATCCTTAGAGAGAGCAGCTATTCAAAAACAGATACTACAGCTGTTAGATATAGTTAGGTTAAACATTTAAATTCTTTTCCTCATGAAAATATTCACAATTGATGGAGGATTAATCTCTGTTAAAAAATTACGCTCTACTTACAGAACGAGGTTAAATGTCAGAGGAAAGCATTTAGGCCAAAAAAAATTGTAAGCTACTTTAAACTAACAGGCCGAACTGGCTAAATTTTCAGAAGATACAGGGTACCCATAACCCTAAAACATACAATAGATGAAAATACATAATTAATTTAATTCAAGTACCTAACTTTGGAAAACTGTAACAGCATGTACCTGAAGGTTTTTAAGGTTCTAGGGAGAGAAACTCTAAAATGTGCCCGCTCTAACAATGCCAAGAGAGTGCATTTTTAAAGTGGCTATCAAAGTTTTATTAAGAAACGCATTTCTCTAGTTGTATTGCTTTTAACGGAACAAAGACATGAAGAAGTGAGTGAGACCCGAGAGTATTTCAAAAAAAACTTCTTCTAAAAAAATTATCACAGCACACTAGAAAGAAAAACATTATTGCTTTAAACTTTACAAAGCTGAACACAGAACACCTGGAATGTTAAATACTTGGGATTAAATTGGAATTTAAAATACCTACCTTGTCTCTGATTTTCATATCAAGATTCTTATAATGTTCTTCAATTTCTTGGATTTTTTTTGTCACTGGAGACTGCATTTCTTTCAGATTCTTCAATTCTTCCTTGGCCTGGTCACGGCTTTGTTTCACTTCCTCATGCTGCTGACGAACATTTTCATATTCCTTGTGAGAGTTTCAAGCAAAAGATTTGATTTCATCTTCTATTCCACGCGATTTGATACTGCTCTAACATTTCATTTCATTGTACATGAGTTTGAGGAGAAAAAATTCATTCAGAAGCTAGTATTAGAGTGACTACTTAAGTAATCCTCCTGTTATTGGTCAGTATCACAGTATGACCAGAAGAGAAACAAATCATTCAGTCCCCAAAAAACTGCACACACATTTAATGCTCCTTAGGTAACACGTTATTCAAGTAGCAGAAGAAACTACCAATCTCTCGGAAATTACCTTGCCTCTAAGTTCATCCTGGGTCGGGGTGGAAAGAGTAATTCTTAGCCCCTTCTGTCCATAGTTTGAGCACTATTTATGCAGAAGTCCTGAAGCTAAGGGGTAAATAACCACAAATAACCTTCAGAAAGAGAGGGACTAGCTAGGCAGATGATCAAAGCCAGTTATAGACATAACCCTGAAGTAAAGTGAGAGACAGAGACACAGAGAGAGAGAGACAGAGACACAGAGAGAGAGAGACAGAGACACAGAGAGAGAGAGACACAGAGAGAGAGAGAGAGACACAGAGAGAGAGAGACGAGAATAGAAGGAAAAAAGCCACCCATATACTATAAATACCAAAGAAGTCACTATCTGGGGAGCTGAACTGGAGCTGCATTCCTGAGAAGAAAAATATGGTGAGCAGTGCAGTGAACAAGAACTACTACCACCAAGAATGCAGGAGTTTTTGGAAGAAAATAGCTTAAGGCTCAGAGAGTCATTACTACAATTATGAGAAACAGTCAAGTACTTTGGTGCTAGGCTGACTGATAAAAAAAAGAAGCTCGTGTTCAACAACTGTTACAGGCTGAAGAGAAGAGAGATTCTGAGGACCAGAGGAAGGAGGTGATGTATGCAAGTTAGGGGGCAGAGGAGGGGAAGTTTTTGGTATTGGCAAGGAACAGAAAAGGTCCCCGCTCTAGAGCATAAGCCTGGAACATGTCAAGTTTTAAAGTGCAAAAAAAGATAGATAACTTGCAAGCTCCATCTGAATCAGCTAATTTTGCTTTATCCACCACCACTTTTTTCCCTAATTAGTTATTTAATCATTTCATTTGTACATACACAATTAATCACAAATAAATCTACTCAGGCTGTTAAATAAAAATTATTTCTTCATAGTAGCTTTTTCATAAAGCTACAGAGTCTTTGAAGAAAGCTGCTATAATTCATGGATGTGGAGTCCTATTAGTAGTCACCATCACAAACAGCTACAAAGGTAAAGCAATTATACCTCTACTTAGCCGACCGAATAAGCTCAGAATTTAGCTCTATTCTAAATAAGGCATTATATTTCAAAGTTAAAGCAAGAAAACACACACAACTGCACATAATTTCTTGAGATACAGGAATGTTTGTCTAGAAACTGTTACGATATTGTTTTTTTAGAGCAAATCTCTTTAATGCTGTAATAAAACCTGACTTTCACTAGACCTATGCGTTTTGGCAATTTCTAAGCAAACAATCTAGACCCTTGCAGTTATCCACTCAGCCAGAGGTCTGCAGAACTTCCGAAGCATTTCATCCCTCCCAAGAGTTATTTGCATCCGAGCTACCTAATAAAGCTTTTCTCAATTGGGAATGAAGAGGAAGAAAAGGAGGAGCGGGCGTAGCTTGGTTAAAACACATTTTCAAAATTATCATTTTCCAGACATTTACAGTTTGAGGAACAGCACCTCATGCTTCCATACTGCCTCAAGATATGCCTTATAATATACCACACTACCTTAACCTTAAGCTTGGAGGGCCAAGAAATCCCTCTTCTTTAAGAGTTTCACAAGAAGGGCTATGTCAAAAAACTTGTAGCTCCTTACATCTGCTCATTGATTCTAGATGACATTAAGGTCATTTGATGCAAGGCCCATTAAAGTATACAGCAACAGAAAGAGCCCTCTGCATACTTGAGTCCAAAAGTAAACTATGTTCAGTCCTAGACTTGCTCTTTTTCTTTAGAATCAAGAAAAAAAATCTACCGTCATGAAAACAGTGGCCTATTTCAGTTGATCTGTTTCCAGGCTGCCTGTAAGAAAGTAAGTGTTTTCTCCATTATGTTTTTCTACTGCAGTGTTTATAGATCTGCATCCTGGTTGTTTCGGAGGCTCACCTAGTGATTCTGTTTTGTTACAGAGGCAATTCCAAACAGCAACTTCTATTTGGTCTACAACTAGACAACTACCTTTTTGAGGAGGGCGGGGGGAAAAGGAAGATCCACAGAGGAAAGAAAGAACTCCCAGGCTAGTCTCAGTTTTGGTGAACCCAATTTTAAGGCATCAAAAAAGTTTATTCTTAGCGTTAAGCAGTTTAAAGGCAGATGACAAAGAAATATGACTTAGCAAAATAATATTTTTTTCTTTGAGAGAGAATACCTTTTTTGTTTGAGAGAGCGCCTGATATTTTGCAATATAGGAAAATAGCAAGAGACCTGGTCTGAAGACTTTGACAAACCATGGAACAGCAATGATCTTGTACATTAAAGATCACGATGAAATGTGAAATTTCATCTCAGCTGTCAGCCACAGATTCACAAACAACTGGGGTTGGAAGCAACTGGTCAAATATTTTCTACACAGTAGACTGATCAGGTTGATGACTCTTGATTTCAACTACAGTGCATCCACAAGCAGTGGCTTCTGGTACACCCTACGTTACTGATTCTGTACTG